TGTTTGCTATTTGCTGCAAGGACGTGTCAAGAGTTTGCAGCAGCAATCACATTCAGAAAGCACACACAAATAACTGATTCAGCTGGATTCAATAACTTCTCTTTATAGATAATATAACACATGAAGTAAATATACAATACCAAAAGCAGGTCTTCCAACGTGGTAGTTCAGCAGAGAAGTTTCAGTTTAAGATATCAGCACAGCATGCAGCTTTCGTACAGAACAAGCCACGCCCAGGCTCCTTGCTGTCTCCTTCCTTGTTGCTCACACAGCAAATACTGTTTNCGGCTCACAAACCCAAGAGGGGAAGGGAAACACAAGAACTACAAATACAAGCATTTAAAATAACCAACAGACACACAATCGAGAGGGGAAGGGACATAGGTAGATAGATGAATAGAGAGAGATAGATGGTTGGTAGGTAGGTAAATAGGTAGGTAGATAGATAAGGTAGGTAGGTAGATAGACAGTAGATAGATAGAAGGTAAATAGATACCATGTTTTCCCGAAATTATGATATGTCCTGATAATAATAAGAAGACCTCCAAGGTCTCTTCCAACTCTGTTATTCTATTCTATTTCTATTATATTCCTCCCAACTCTGTTAATCTGTTAAACTTGCCAAAATCACAAGGACCAGAGAGAAGATGGCTACCTTTTCACCCTAACGTAATTTTTAAGAAAGGAAAGACTGAAGCCAATTTAGCATGTCGACAAGGTTTGAAATTCCTGCCTTCTAACCCTTTCTGTTTCTTTTTACCACGTCAACCATGCAATCCCATAGAAGCAAAGTCTGCCAAAAATTTTGATTTTATGACAGATTATTGCAGGCATCTGTCTCAAATATTGGTAGCTTGCCATCGTGCCACCCCTAATAATCCTCTTTGTTAAACTAGACATACTCAATTCCTGAAACTATTCTTCGTGTTATAGCTTCCATCATCTTTGTTGCTTTTTTTAAATCTGCACTCTTTCTGGAGTCTCAACATCTTTTTTCATGATGACCAGAACTGGATGCAGCTTGGCCATCAAATACCCTCTCACGATATGTATACATTAGGGCTGTGAAAATATTTACAGATCCCTCACATCTTGGACGTAAAGTGTTCCAACTCCTTCCCTCAAAACGACGCTATGGAGCACTGCACAACAAGACACAAGAACGGTTTTTTCCTGAATGCCATCACTCTGCTAAACAGATAATTCCCTCACCACTATCAAACTATTTGCTAAGTCTGCATTACTATTAGTCTTCTCATTTTTCCCATCCCCCATCTCCTCCCATTTATATAATATATAATATAATAAAAAAGTTGGAAGGGACCTTGGAGGTCTTATAGTCCAACCTCTTGCTTAGGCAGGAAACCCTACACCACTTCAGACAAAAAATGGTTATCCAACATCTTCTTNCCCCCCCCCCTCCTTAGATGCGCCCGCTTCTACAATTGGGTAAAACCCGATTATAGAGCTAAATCCTTAACGGATGAGGATTTCATTTCTGAGGGCTGCAAAGGCTGTGCCTTTAGCCAAGCCTTATCAGCTCTGCTGGCAGAGAGATTATTCAAGATGTCCCAGGATCAAAACGGAGCCTTACCTGGCTTAAATCAATTAGGCACTTAAGGGCGAAGCTGTCAAACTGAAAATGCCTGCCAAATCTGTACATCTCATTTTCTTTGCACGGATGCGTTTCACGTGGCATTCAAATGCTTCGGGAGGGACAGAAAATGCCGCTGGGAACCGTAATAAAAAACCTTTATTCGGAAGCCATTTCAGGAAGGAGCAGGATAGAAGACAAAAGTGGGGGGGGGGGGGGGGGACAACGATGACAAGGTTTTAATATAGGGGTGTCAAACTCAAGTCCTGTGGGCTGCATCTGGCCCGTGGGATGCTTAAATCTGGCCTGGAAATAGCATAAAATTGGCCCACGGTGCCCCGTTTTCAGCCTGGACAGCCTCCTGAAAAACTTTGGCGGCCAAAATGGGCCTCGGCAGTCCATTTTGGCCAGTGGGGTACTGCAGGAGGCGTCCGTCCCATCTCCCCCTCCACCCCGGTCCACAGAGAATTACAATGCTGATCCGGTACTCAGAAGAAATCCAGTTTGACAGTCCTGTTTTAACACAGCAAAATGATCGCACGAAAATGAGTTTTACCAGGAGATCAAATTTCCTCCTTAAACAAAATGCTTTGCCATTCTACAGAATAGAATAGAATAAACAGAGTTGGAAGGGACCTTGGAGGTCTTCTAGTCCAGCCTGCTGCTTAGGCAGGAAACCCTACATCACTTCAGACACATGGTTCTCCAATTTCTTCTTAAAAACATCCAGTGTTGGAGGATTCACAACCACTGGAGGCAAGTTATTCCACTGATCAATTGTTCTATCAGGAAATTTCTCCTTAGTTCTAGGTTGCTTCTCTCCTTGATTAGTTTCCACCTGTTGCTTCTTGTCCTGTCTTATTATTTTTGAGGTGCAGGAGGCGGCGACCGTGGTCACCTCATGGCTGCTGCTGTGTTGCAATATTTTCAGGGAGGGCTTATTTTAAGCACATGAGCTCAAAAGCCCGATTGGGCTTATTATCCAGGGAGGTCTTATTTTTGAGGAAGATGCTGGTCTTGTTGTATTTGGGACTTTTCCCATGTAAGATTGAGATTGCCTTGGCAACATTTTGGCGAGGTCTCACTCACCATCTTCAGGCTGGTGTTTTCAGCTTAAAGCGTGGTCGGAGCTGCCGTCTTTCTATAAATCTTGGTGGGAGTGTGTGGAGTGCTGGCTTTGTTTCAGTAAGTGGATTGATTAGCTGTGTGGTTGTATCATGATTGGTAGATTGGTGCTGGCTGTGTGTCTGTTGTTCNAGATAGATAGAAGATTGATAAGATGACTGATAGATGGTAATGGCAGATAGGTATGACAGACAGATGTGGCTGATAGATGATAGATTAGATAGACAGAGAGATAGGCGGACAGACAGAATTAGATAGAGAGAAGCCGAGGAGATAGCGGAAAATGATTAAATAAGATACGGCATCCTTACACAGAATCTAGCCTGCCAAATACTTTTTTAATTGAGAGCATTTCGCGCTATGGTCAAGAGTAAAAGCCTACAAAGTGATGCACAGAACAAGTGTAAAAGAAGATACAATTACGGTAATGGCATCAGAAACAGACATCTGGAAATTACACGATGCCTCCGCTTCTGCTCTGCCAACATATGGAACCATCAAAACTAATGTTGCAGAAAAACTCGTGAAGCTAATTTAAGAGGAATAAGTTGATTTGAGTCTACATTCCAGGCTGCCTGGTTCTTGTACCCTGGCAACTATTCATTCACAGCAAGAGTTGGAAGGGACCTTGTAGATCATCTAGGCCAACACACACCCCCTCCCCAAGCAGACACTGCACCATTTTTGACTGATGGCAATCCAGTCTCTTCTTCAGGGATGAAGCTCCCACAACTTCTGAAGGCAACTTTTGTTTCATTGGTTGATTGTTCTCTGTTAGAAAATTTCTCCTTAGATTGAATCTCTCCTTAACTGATTTCCATCCATTATTCCTTGTTTGGCCTTCAGGTGCTTTGTAAATGGAAGTTTTTTGGGGGAATTTTTTTTATGATGATAGTTCTAAAAGGAATCCAGAGATAATTCTTAGCACTAGTGGATTATATAACAGAATAACAGAGTTGGAAAGGACTTTGGAGGACTTCTAGTCCAACCCCCTGCTCAGTCAGTAAACGCTACCCCATTTCAGACAAATGGTTATCTAGAATTGTTAAAACTTTATCAAGCAATAAGCAACTATATTATTTGTGGTTAGACTTTTGAGGGAAACCAACAAGATTTAATTCTTTTTTTTTTAAAAAAATGCAGATTTTTTTATTCCACCAATTTCTGAAGTCTCATAGACCTTTACAGTAAAAACACCAACCAAAATAAAATACAGAGGTGCACCGACATATACAAAATATTAACAAATTACAATCTAATTCTAACACCTGCACGTTTAAGGCTTTCAAAAATACTAAGAGCAGGTAGCCTCCTTAACAAAGCAGAAAGTCCATTCTGAAGACATGTGGGTGAATACAGGGATGACCACATAGTGGTCAAAAAAATCAGTGGTGGCTGTAACTTAGTCTTGCCCCCCCCCCACTTTTTTTTAGGTGTGTGGCACATATGACACACATTAAGAAAGCTGGGAGACTTCACTTACTTGATTCCATTGACCATCCTGATTTTTAAAACCAGGGGGTGTCCAATCCTAGCAACTTTTAAGACTCGTGGATTTCAACTCCCAGAATTCCCCAGCCAGTATGGAATTCTGGGAGTCGAAGTCCACAAATCTTATAGCCAAGGTTGGACATCCTTGTGGATGTCCTTAGAAAGCTATAGATTGCTGCACAAATGAAGGTGGATCAACTTTGAGAGTCATCTCAGTGGAATGGACTAATTGATTGAATGGGAGTGAAATCCAGGAAGAATCATAGAGTTCTTGCCTTTAATTATGTCCTCCCATGCCATTCTCTGCTCACTTCTATAAGGTGAGAACCTCAATTCTTGCAGAAGCCAAATGGTTGACTGCAAAGGCATCATTTTGCAACCGAGTGTAAATGACTGTTCTACATGACAGAACATTGGGTGTTAGCAATGGCAGGTCCATTGCTGTTGTTGAAAAAGGAAAGAGAAAATAGCCTCCAGCACTTAAATATTGCTGAATTTCCCAAATCAACATGACTTAAAAGACTCCGTTTCTTCTCAAGATGTTCCCACAACCTAATTCCTCCTTTGGTTACCTGGAAGTAAGTCACACGAGAAGTACTTGCATGATTTCCGTGACTTCTTCTGTCTGGCCTTGAACAATGAAGAAGGAAGATGTTTCTAGCCAACAGTCAATCTTGAAGCTCACGAGCATCAGAAGGAGGTCTTGTAATTGATGTCACCTTATCTATTGAGATCTTTATTTAATGGGAGCCGAAGGTTTCACATAACATGGACCTCACTGGGTAACCAGTATTTCCACTCATACTCTTCGATCTACACATTCTTTCAAGGTTACCTGTTGCTGGTGTGCCTTTCTGTTATTAGAAGTCTTCCTTGCTCTTCGCGTATACCTTCTCTGTACTTTCAGCCCTTCAATAGATTCAGGATTCAATTAATTTTTTGTTCTAGTTATCATAACCCCGCAAACCCTCCCTTGCTTATATTTAAATGACATTATTTAAGATGACTTTGTTCTAATACAGAAATGGGGAACCACAGCCCCCCATTATGATATGCGGACTTTAAACCGCCAGAATTCCTGAGCTACCATTTCTCTCCCCCCACCCCAATTTTTTAAAAATTGTATTTTAGTACAAATAATCCATCTTCCATTAAACAGTGTATTGTCTGGGTACAAATGTTTGCGCAATAAGCTAAAATTTACAATCATATTCATTATTTAATCTATTCTTAGCTTAATACCAACATTAAATATCTGATGCTTTACATCCTCTTCTTAATTCACTTAACTATATTGACTCTATTAACTATTTTCTATATTTTACTCATCTACTTTTATATCTAATTTTAATATTATCCTCTAACGGTCGATAAAATGTTTCCATATCACATAACAATCAGTTTGTTCTCTTTAATTGCCAGTGTTAATCTATTCATTTCTGCACATTCTAATATTTTCCTTATCATATTCTCCCCTGTAGGAATCTCTTCTCTTTCCAGTTTTGTGCAAATACTAGCTGCAGTTATTACCACATTTTTCGGAGTATAAGATGCGCCTCCCCGCCCCCCAAAGAGGGTGAAAATCTGGGTGTGTCTTATATACTGAGTACAGCATTTTTGGCCTCCCAAAACCCCGCCCCCTTCGCAAAAATCGACATGCAGAGGGTTTGGGAGGCTTGCAAATTGCTCCTGGGGGCTGAGGAAGGCAAAAACAAACGAAAACCAGGCCCTTTTTTGCTCGTTTTTGCCCCCCCCCCGCAGCCCCCAGGATAATAATATAAGGTGAGCGGTATCGATTGATAATTGCTATTAAAAAGAACAGGAAGTTCCTGTTTGTATTGAATTGTGTAAATGTGGTGTATGTCTAAGTTTTGTGTGTGTGTATTTTACATGTTTGTTTATTTATATATACATATACATACACATACATACATACATATATATAACATACATATATACATATAGAAGAAAAATGTTTGTCCCAAAGATGGGGGTGGGGGGGAGGAAAACTTCTGATCCAGTTTGGGAGAAAGAAAGAAAAAAAGACCCCTAACATTTTGTGGAAAAGTTATACCACAAAGTTAATAAGCTGTTACAAAATTGCGACTAACGGATTTATAAGTTCGTATGGTTATGTTCTTTTACAAATTGTTCTATTTAGAACAAATGTATGATATGATGGACATCACTGGCGAACCAATAAGATTAATTTCTAATGGTCTCATCCGTCTTGATGTGACCCAAATTTTGGCCCTCACTTAAAAGCTCTCAGACTTACATCCTTAATTAAACGTGTTTCAGTGCCCAAGACCTGATTTGGCTCCCAAATATATTTAAGGATGCATTTACTGTATTTTTTGGGCTATAAGACACACCAGTGTATAAGATGCACCAAGATTTTGAAGAGGTATGTAAGAAAAAAAAGTTTTTGTCCTCCCTGGCCCCCAGGAACACTCTGCAGGCTTTAGCAGGGCTGGGAAAAGGCAAAAATGCCCTCGTTTTTGTGAAAAATGGGTGGAAAACGGGGTGTTTTTTGCAAAAACGGGGGCATTTTTGCCCTTCCCCAGCCATGCTGAAGCCTTCAGAGTGCTTCTGGGGGCTGAGGGAAGGCAAAAATGCCTGTTTTTGCAAAAAATGGCCTGTTTTTTGCCAAAATTGGATGTGGGGATGGGGCTTCAGGAGGCCAAAAATGGCTGTATTTGGTGTATAAGACGCACCAACATTTCCACGCCCTTTTAAGGGGGGGAAGGTGCGTCTTATACTCCAAAAATACGGTATATTTGACACAAATCAAGTCATGATGCAGAAAACAATAAAGTCTTGGTGAAGAACCATAGCACCGATTCATGCTGTATAGTTTCCTAGCAAAATAATGCCTACAGAGATCTTCATAATAAAAAAAATATGTTGGTGACAGGCTCATGAAATGATATTTAATTATTTTTTAATTATCCGCTTAAGCCGTAATATTCTGCTTTGCCCCGTTCTGATGGTGAATGATGGCACATAAAAATGCATAATTGTTTGTATATTTGTTTTTTAAAAAGCTACTTGGTTTGGTTTAGCTTTCCCAGCTCATGATAGGCCCACTGTGAAGTTCACATGATTGTTAAAAAGGCCGAAGGATTGGGAAGGGGAATGCAGTCTCCAAAATTTCAGCAAACAAACATGGTTTTTGATCAGTCTTCCTAAGCTAGTAGCTACTAAAGTAACCCCATAATGGATCTCTTCGTACGCATTGTGTTTTATTGATCAAATTGCACTCATATAAAACCCCCAAATTTTCTTCTTAGCCCAGGAAAAAAAGTAGCGAGTGAAATAGACCCTGTTGCATTTATTTGGAAATGATCACACTGACCACTTCATATAAACCTGCAAATAGGCTGGTGAGACATAATAATAAAACAAGGATGGGACGATCGGTTTGCAGCAGAAGAAACCAAGACCCAAATGGTTTCTCTGTCCTTCTAAAGTTCTCCCAAGACTTGTTGAGAGATGGAGTTGTTCTCCATCATAGGTTGGATATTGCCGAAAGGAATGGTTCAGCCGCTTTTAGAAGGACAGGCAGAGACAGAGAGCGGAGTCAAGCGAGGAATCAGCCCGGAGTCCTTACGTTCCCACAAATGGCTTCCAGGCTAATTCAGGGGTTGGCAACCGGTGGCTCTGGAGCTGCATGTGGCTCGTTCATCCCTCTGCTGAGGCTCCCTGTCGCTGGACAGCTCGACAATTGATAGGGCTTTCAGGTAGGACAGGTAGAGGAAAAAGGATGCCACTCTAGGAGGAGACTCTATGGTGGGGGAACAGGACTTCCGGTCGGCAGAGGAAAAAGGACACTGAGGTAGGAGGAGACTCTATGATGGGGAACCAGACTTCCAGTCGGCAGAGGAAAAAGGACACTGGGCTAGGAGGAGACTCTATGGTGGGGAACCGGACTTCCGGTCAGCAGAGGACGCTGAGCTAGGAGGAGACTCTATGTGGGGAACCGGTTTTCCGGTCGGCAGAGGAAAAAGGACGTTTGCGGTAGGAGACTCTCTGGTGGGGGAACCAGACTTCCAGTCAGCAGAGGAAAAAAGATGCTGGGCTAGGAGGAGACTATATGGTGAGGGAACCAGACTTCCGGTCAGCTCCAGAATTGAATGGGGGGACTTCTGGTTAGGATCTTTGTGGCTCTTCGAGTCTTTACAGTTGCCAACCCCTAGGCTAATCCCTCTCTTGACTCTGCCCCATCTCTGCCTGTTCTTCTCCTACATCTCCTCCTGTTTTCTCTGCAAGGTTCTGTAATAAGAATAGGTCCCAATCCATCATTGGCTGGAAACACCTGTCATCTCAGTGGACGGTCTCTTTTCATTCGTCAACACTTGTAGGGACAGGAAGACGGTTGAGGGCACATCACATCCGCCTATCTTCTGGAATGTTGCAGAAGTGAACGGGAGGAGAGGTGGACCATTTTGGGACAGGGTTGGCCGATCTCCATTCTGAGCCAACTTTTCCCATGAAGGCAGGCGCCCCTGAAATACAAGTTGTCCCTCCAGTTTTCCGGAACACGGATTCTCTGAACCCGTTCCTGACCTTAACTGGAAAGAGCGATCCCTATTTTTCCTCCAACCTGATTTTTTTTTTTTTACTAATTAAGTGAACAGATCGCAAGACACACCTTTGCTTTGTGATCCAGGAAGCTGATTTCCCTCTCTCTCTGCCTCCTGCTTCGTTTCCTCAATGCCGACCTTATGCCCAGCTTCCTCAATGGCACTTCTGTCATTCTGGCTGTGCTCCGCGGCCCCCCACCACTCTGCACCCACTCCTGCTTCTCCTGGCCTTTGAGCGCTGGGTGGACAAAGTTCTTCCACCAGAACTGTGTTTGTGGTTTCAAAGGAAGTCAAAGTGCTGTCGTGATTGTGAATCATGCCTTCGTTCTTCTCTTCCACCACCTCTTCATCATCATCATCATCATACAGTTCAGGTGTAAAACAGAGCCTGTCGTCTCCAGCATCGGTTTCGACACCAGGATCTGACCTCCTGGGAGAAGACACCACCTTCTCCAAGCCTTTATGTCCAGCGTGCTGTCTTTCGTGGGGACATTTCTCAGTCATCAAGGTCATCTTTGTCCTTGGAGAACCATGAACCGCTTTGCCATCTGGCAACTGTCTTATTGGTTGATCTTCTTCGACCCACAAAATATTCTGCTGGGGTCCGTAAGGAACAGAGTGACCGTCTTCCTCCCCTGCTTTTTCTGTTGGCCTAGGAGCCCTGAAGATGTAATTCTTCTTTACTGTTGGGGTTGAATTCCGCATTTTAGTGAAGTAATTTTCTATGCTGCCAGCGGAGAACTGATCGCTTGCTTTCTTCCTCCTGTTTTCAGCAGTGGAACCCATGGGGCTGGAGCCTGTCAATTTATTTTGCTTTGTGGAGAAGGGTGAATCTGTGGAGGAAGAGCAGATAAAATGTCAGGCCTGCAGTCATCTTTACTTTTCGGTCTTTGGCCTGCCACACTTTCTATTATTCTACTATGCCTTTTCTATGGTGGGAAAATGGAAGGGGGAGGGGATTGTACGGAGTTAGATGCTATGTAGCCATAACAACATTCTTTCTAGAAAGCCAAGGTCATCCTTTGTCTCTGCACCTCTGCACCTGACCGGAACTGGATGGGTGGAAACTACCAGCATGGCAGTGGGAGACAGTACCATGTGATGGACTTGTGGGTGTGGGGGCAAGATCTTTCAACTGGGTGGGGAAAACCAGGAAGCCTTCAGATTCGGGTTTTCCCAGATGTGCCAACATGGATCTCTTGATAAATTGGAACTTTGAGGAATCCTTTGCCTTGGACTCTGATTTACTTTTGGATGCTATTTGGAACCCGGAAAAATAAGATAAAAGAGACAGAAGGAGAGATGATTAATTCTTGTCATTAGCATATCCATCAGGAGTCAGTACTAGGATCATTGATTAAATCATAGATTTACATCCCGCCCTTATTTATTTTTTTAAAAAAACTTTTTAATTTGTTTCAAAAAAAGTTAAAACACAAAGCTCCAACCAACTTTTTTTTAAACAACAAAGCAAACACAGCAGTTGTTATGTGAATGCAATCATTGTTAAGTAAAGCCACTGTCTGCATGGGACTTTCTTTCTTTTTTGCCAGAAACTGGAAGTAAACATCAGTTTACAGCAAAAAAAAAAAGGTTGTAAATTGTGGTCACGTGTCCATGGAACGCTGCAAGTAAGGGAAGAGGAGAAGGGAAGGAGGAGGATGGAAGTGAGGGAGGGAGGATGGGCATAGAGGGAGAAACGAAGGAAAGGAAAAGTTGGAGAGTGGGAGGAAAAGAGGCAGGGAATGGAGAGGGAGAAGAAAGACAGGAAGGAAATTCAGGGAGGGAGGGAGGGAGGGCATATGCCATAGAAGGAAGGAGGAAGGAAGGGGAAAACATGGAGAGCAGGAAGAAGAGAGAGAGAGGAAGGGAGGGAGGGCATGGAGAGAGGAAAAGGAAAGAAAGGAGGGTCAGTGAGGCTGATGGATGAAATTGGAATAAATGAACGAACGAAGGATGGGCAGGGGAAAGGAAGGAAAATGAAGAAGGAAAAAATGAGGATGGAACGGAGAATGGTTCTACCACAAATGCGCGAACGACAAAAGCGCGCCTGACTAAACCGCGGTGACAATAGCGCGCCGACAAATGAGCGCCGACAAATGAGCGTTGAAGCGCGCCGACAACAGCGCGCCGACAGAAGCGCGCTGTAACCCTAACCCTAACCCTTACCTTAACTTAAATTGCGCTTCTGTCGGCGCGCTTTTGTCGGCGCGCTTTTGTCGTTCGCACATTTGTCGGGTCACGACGGAGAATAGAGAGGAGGATGGAAGGAAGAAAAAAGGTAGGAAAGAAGGAAGGAGGGAATGAAGGAAGAGAAAGGGCATAGAAGGAGGAAAGAAGGAAAGGAAAAACATGGAGGGCAGGAGGAAGAGAGGGAGGGCATGGAGGGAGAAGAAGGAAAGGAAGGCCAGGGAGGGAGGAAGCTGGAGCAGATGAATGAACAAAGGATGAGTAGAGGAAACGAAGGAAACTGAAGAAAGAAGGAAGGAAAAAAATGAGGATGGAAGGAAGGAAGGAGAATAGGTAGGAAAGTAGGAAGGAAAAAGGAGGGGAGAAGGAAGAAGGAAAGAAGCAAAAAGAGAGGAATGAAGGAAGGGGAAAGGAGGAAGGGATACAGCATTAAAAATATTAATGTTGCAAATAAGGAATGCCACCCTGTGCCCAGCTTTGCATCAACAATCCACGGAGCCCCTTTTGGTGTATTAGCAAAATGAACCAGCCTTTCCATCCTCCGGAAGCTTCCTCTCTTTGTAGAACTTTGACTAGTTTTTCAAGGAAGCGGATTGACATGCCGTAATAGAACCTCCTGCCTTCAATGTATATACAACTAAGTATGGGGAGGAACTGTTATGGAAGATTTTGTTAAGACGGACTTAATCCCTTCTTTCCACCCAGGGACAAAGGGAGCCCCGTGGGTGGCCCAACACATCCCTGCACGCCCAGAGGTGGATGGGGTTTTTTTTGGACTTTCCTCCCCATTGGCAGCTTTTCGCTCTCCGCCAGCTCAAGACGATGCTACAGAAGGCAATGCGTGTTTTCTTGGGATTGCAGTGTAGCCATGGAAGGCGGCTGTTCGATCCCAGGAACAGATGCAGCTGCTTTAAAGAGTTGCAGAGGGATCGTGTGAATGCCTACCTAGGCTTCAAAGCACCCCCACCCCTTAAATCTGCCCAGCCACGGGTCAGGGGATGGCACGTTTGCTCCTGAAAAGCAAAAGAAACTCTTCCTTCCTTCCATCCTTATTTTTCTTCCTTCTCCTTCCTTTCCTTTTCTTCCTTCCATCCTGATCTTATTTCCTTCCTTCCTCCCATCTGTATTTTTCTTCTTTCATTTTCCTTCCTTCCTATTTCTCTTCCTTCCATCCTGTTCTCCTTCTTTCCATTCTCATTTTTCTTTCCTTCCCTCTACCCATACTTTGTTCATTCGTTCCAACTTGCTTCCTTCTCCTATTTTTTCCATCTACCTTCTATTCTCCTTCCTTCCATCATTTTTTGTTCCTTCTTCCTCCTTCCCTCTACCCATCCTTTGTTCGTTCATCCATTCCAACTTCCTTCCCTTCTTCCTTCCTTCCCTATTTTTCTTCCTTCCATCCGCCTTTTATTCTCTTTCCTTCCATCATGTTCTCCTTCCTTCTTCCTCCTTCCCTCTACCCATCCTTTGTTCGTTCATCTGTTCCAACTTCCTTCCCTTCTTCCTTCCTTCCTTCCCTATTTTTCTTCCTCTCATCCGCCTTCTATTCTCCTTCCTTTCATCCTATTTTCTTTCCTTCCTTTATTCCTTCCCTCTACCCATCCTTTGTTTGTTCATCCATTCCAACTTCCTTCTCTTCTTCTTCCTTCCCTATTTTTCTTCCTCCCATCCACCTTCTATTCTCCTTCCTTCCATCACATTCTCCTTCCTTCTTCCCTCTACCCATACTTTGTCCGTTCATTCGTTCCAACTTCCTTCCTTCCCTATTTTTCTTCCTTCCATCCGCCTTCTATTCTTCTTCCTTCCCTCTACCCATCCTTTATTCATTCATTTGTTCCAACATCCTTCCTTCCCTACCTTCTTTTAACTTACCAACTCACTCATTCGCTGATTCCTACCTACCTACCTACCTACCACTTTGTCAAAATCACCCCGAAATTTCACTTTTCTTGCATGAGACCTTAAGAGATTTCCGAGGAGGTGATTTTAGGCAAAAAAAAAAAAAAGAGCTTCCGAACTGCATAAAACTGCATGTATAAAACTGCATGAGACAACAAGACTGCCCAGGACCTCCGACGTGAGACCTCTGCAATCTGATGAGGCTTGACAATCTGAAACAGTTTTAGCCATTTTTAAAAATTTGGTTTTCAGATACATACCATATTTTTCGAACTATAATAAAATAGCAGAGTTGGAAGGACCTTGGAGGTCTTCTAGTCCAACCCCCTGCCTAGGCAGGAAACCCTATACTGTTTCAGACAAATGGCTATCCAACATCTTCTTAAAGACT